AACACAATTGCACTTCATTCCTGGTAGAAGGAGACCTAGGGATAGTGTATAGTGTGAGCTATTGAATTCCTACATGTGATGGTGAAGGTGATCAGAAGAGAGTATCGATGCGTTTCAGAGTATCGGAGCATAGAGTACGGGATCGACTTGCCCTTCACCCACCCGGATCCAAAAGTACCTTGACCACAGCGACGATCAGTTACATTCATTAACATTTCACTTCAAACAAATGGCATGTTGTCGCTTAACGTGAAACAGCGATTTCCTAGCACCGCACACTCCATCCTCCGACCCTCCGGCCGGAGTCCAAAGTAATGGGCCTACGTACTGTCCCAGTGATCTACTTCCACGAAGTGGTTGGAGAGAAAACTAAAACCAAAAATTAAAATTAAAAATTAAAAATAAAAAAAAAATTAAAAAAAAGGTCGCGCCCAAGGTGCTGTTAGACCAAAGTCTAGAACGAGTGGATTCCCTGGAAACACATCTTTCCGTTCAGAGTCCCAGTGTTTCACGTCGCGCTAAAATCATGCAAAATGACTGAAACGAGTAAGTTGTACAAAGGAAAGTCATGTTAATTCATCGCATCTTTGGCAAGTCTAGAATCTAAACACAGTGGAGAAAAATGAGGTCATTTGCGGCACCTGCCGTCTGATCGACGTTCTGTTTTAACCGGAGCGTTTTCCTTCGCTTTTCCGATTTTCTGTTAGCTCTTTTGATCTCGTGTGAAGTGCTAGAAGGGGCTGTGGAGTTGCCCCACTGGTCTAGAACGGTGAGTGATATTTCCCAAAATCAGAGGGTGGATCTGCTTCGTTCTGCTGTGACTGGCTCGACTGTGTTTCTTGGTATTCCCTATCGTCAGGTCATTTCAAGCTTCGTACTCGGTAGTCCGTAGTCGACTACCGATCGAGAGATATTTCCGGTGAAAGAAGAGTCTTGAGGGGTATTTCCGGGGGGATGATGATGATGTTTTCTCCTTGCTTGGCTTCGGTTGAGCTATTGCTTGGCTACCATTTTGCTTCTACCAGGTTGGACAGCGCAGCTATGCTGCATCGTGTGAGAGGTATCAGCTGCTACGAGAAACAGTGAGAACCTTGTGTACAGCAAAGTTGAGACACTAACGGTGATCCGATACTGCATTATCGTCAAGGATTGTGCAGAGTGCTAATGTGGGAGTCAAGACACGAGTCATGAACAACCATCACACCCCGGCCCCCCTCATTCTGGATTAAACCGGGCATGTCTATTCCGTACTCCGTGCTACAACGAATCACATCTGCCAATCCTAGAAGCTCTCTGCAGAGAGGGTGTGCCACCATCCGTCCTCCACAAGCCAAAGGAGTAATGCGCCGACCCCGGACACGGGAGACAAGAATTTAAAAGAAAAGCAAAAGAGAACGATCACGAAAATGAAAAACAAAAGGCCCTTCCCACTAGCAAAGGAAACAATTCCCCGCTAGGATTAGGACAGACAGTAGCGTCCTGGCAAATGTACCCCATACATCAAACGTAGCAAGACATCCGTAAAAATAGAAAATTCATGCAAACCCCCCCCCAAAAAAAGAGAAGAGTCACAAATATCCACTTTCTCGCCAAAACGGGAAACTCATCGGGAAACCGGGATACCGGGACACCGATTGTTTTTTTTAAAGAAGCATTCAATTGCACTACGTGAGAAAGAATCAAAGGGAAGACTAGAACCCCAGCTCGGCCACGGTAAGGGCGCACAGCGATCTTACTGCGATCTTACTGGGATCCCGTGCACACCGATGTGGGGAGGGTGCTGCCTTGCCGTGGACGTCGGAGAACGGGGAAAATTGTGGATCTTTCTGTTTCTGCCCTGGTTTTAGTGGGAGAGGATCGAATATTGGGGGTTGGGGCGCTTGAGAGGCTTTGTCTGGTGGGGATTCCATGCATAGAGCTGGGCATCCCTGTCCCTGCGGAAGACGGGCTTGGGCTTACAGTTTTGCTACGTGGGCGTATGTAGGCTCCGTGGTGAGGTCTCATCTGGCCCCTGCTAGCCTTGCGAGCCTAGCTAGCCGCATGGATTGTGGGATTTCTGGGGATGATCGCTGCGGTAATTGGCGTGCTATCTTATCGCACGGTCTCAAGGGGGGGGGTTGGCGTGCAGTCGTGTGTAATTTTGTTAGGGCTTTTTCGCTTTTTTTTAAATAATTTTAAATGTTTTTGATTACTGCATTGCATTTTGCAACGTGAATGTAGGCCGGTGGTCGGGTTACCTATCGATCTGCACGTTGTAGGTGTTCTCTGGTTCTGTGGTCCAACGGATTTCCAGAGATGCCATTTTGACAGTTCCTTCAACGGTCTGTGCCCCCATTAAATTTACTAGATGCATAAGGCAAAAAAAGAAAAGGATTGACCGTTTTGCCATCTGACCGTCGAGGTCGCAAAAATGGTTGGTTGGCTTATTTGTCTGGACTTTGAGATAGTGTTTCAGGATAGGGCATGCCATCAAAGATGAGTCTTGCATTTGCCTCTTCATAACCCAATTGACACAACTCACTTGTCTTCCGTGTTCTGGCCTCTCCTTTTGGGTCAGACAATCCACATAGTGATTGTGTCGACCTGTCAAATCCAAAAATGTGAGGGGATTGGCGAACCAAGCTTCATCGAGCCGTGTTTAATCTTTCGGCCCAGAGCGTTCGTGCAGAAAGGTCTATGACACCTATCTATGTTCTATGTTTGGATGTCAACTCTGGTCCTCCGTTTGTGGATGTGATAATCGATATTCGATTCTTGTCTACGGTGAGAAGATGAGATGAAGTGGATCTGCAACAAATGCAACATAATACCGGAGGTCCCTGAAAGCCTCCGAGCTGATCTCTCCAAGTCTTGGCTCTCGGTTTCAATCGGCAGTCTCACCCATTTTTGACGTGGGCCATGGTGCAAGACATGAGCCCAATATTCCGGCCAAGCAATGTACTTTATAGTGTCGGGAAAATAACACGAGAGTCGCAATCCTCCATGTCAACCGTGAGGGAGGGAGGGTGTGGCTTGGCATGCATGGAAAATGCGCATGTGCTCGACAATGTGGGCAGACTGACAGACAGAATATGAATCATGATAGTGGCGATATCCGGATCTACAAAAAAAAAAACTCTGATTCCACGGGTGACTGAGTGTGGAACTTGAGTCCGTCCAAGGGGGTCAGATCATTTTTCATGTCATTTCTGACATTTTTTTTTTCCTTATTCCAAGGTTCTTACGGAGTACGGAGTACAGGATTTACGATCGGGTGGATAGAACTAAAGTCCTTCGACGGGGGTTTCTAGAATTCTAGAAGGTCTGGGCAGTTCCGCGGTCACACTGGTTATTCAGAGATCCTCACGAGTTTATTTTGTACAATGCACGGAGTAGAGCAGCATCGATTTTTTTTTAAAAAAAAAATCGGTCTATCGCACTGTCTATCGCATTGTCTATCATTTACTCAATGTAGTTCCAATTTACATAGTTTAATCCAAGACAGTTCGGGTCTCTACTAGACATGTTTCGCCTCCACCAAGTCAAGCCAAGATATTTTCTTTCCTACGTTGTACCTTGCCGAATCCCTGTGAATTCCAGATGCCCATCCACGAGTCCGGTATTAAAGATCGAAAGATATCAACACAAGCTTGTGTGACATTCCAGTGTGGTACCAATGATCTCAGAAACCCAGGGCTGGAATGATCGACAGGGTCATGTTGGCATCAACCACCAGCCCTAACTAGGGAACCGAAATTGTCCGTGTCTGAGTAGGGTGGACTTTCCAAGGTTATCACGATGAACTTACTATTTAAGGTGACAGGGGAGGTTTTACATGACGTCCAAGACAAAGCAACCTTGGGAAGAGTGAGTACCCTCGATGCAAGGGAGAGAATACCGTGACACGGCCTTATCGTGTATTTTAAGTGGTATTGGTCTGGTCACCCTTGTGTCGCAACGTTATAATACCACAGAACCGTGGGTCGACGATTGACATTCCGGTCTCGGATGGCGTGCTAGCGGCCGAAAGATAGGAGGCTATCGTGGATTAGGAAGTAGACATAGGAGTTATGTCTTAGTAAGATATAGTAGAAAGACCGAAATTGTACGGAGAACTCCGTAGAGGACGGAGTCGTCGCTAAATGTAACTTGAATCATGAAAGAGTTCGTGTTCCGTGGTGGAGTTCAGGGGAACGAAAATCCCCAAACTCGCCACGTTGGGCGTATAGGTCGTTTTTAATTTTTATTTTATTTTTTGGGTTGTTTTTCCAGAACCCGTGGAAGCTTACACGGAGGACTTCTGGAAGGATGGTGGAGTGACCAAAACAAGGACACATGTACGGAGTAGGGAGTTACATAATGCCCAATTGATCTTCAAAGAGGATCAATATTTACATTTTAATCTCAACAGACTCTACATTTTTCAAGTATCCCTTGCAGATCTGAGGCGCTTGTTCAAACGTGAGAGTTCAGCATGTCGCCACAAGAAGACAAAAGCCATAACCAATCAGAAAATTCTGGGGAAAAGAAAGGAGTAAAATAAATCAAATTGGGAAATCCAGAAGAGAAAAGGAGGACCGGAAAATGAAAAAAGAGAGAAAAAAGACAGAAAAAGAAAAGAAAAGATAAAAAAAACAATTATGACATCTTATCGAAAGCAGACTCCACCTGGGCGCAGAAACTAGTTTAGCGTCCCCATATCTCGACCCACTGGAGTCTACAGAGGTGCCCCGTAACCCATTACCCAAGGTATCGTCATGAATGATTCCAGAAACTGCCCTTTTTATTCTTCTTGAGTGCTTAGGTTTCCTGGTTCTTTTCCCCCCATTGTTACTTTTTTTAAAATTGCCCGGTCTCTATAAGCTCTATATTCTACTTCACATCCACCTCTCAGTGCGATTCCAATATATGCCTGTATACCGATAACCCCCTCTTTAAACAAACTGGAGCCTCGTTCCACACGCAGGGGACGACCGGTGAGAAAAAAGCCGAATAAGGGTCCCCGACGCACATTACACGCTATGCTTAAAAAGAGGACGTTGGCTCCGTCCCTCTTCTTCCGGAATCACACTCCTACCACAACCCCCGAATTGTCCCCAACCTCCTCAGACAGCGACTCCGAAGAGGATATGGAATCCTCTGGCTCCCGGCCGGTCAGCCTGGCCATCTCGTCGGGGGCCTTCTCCGTGCGCCCGACGCTCAATGAGGTGCTAGCCAACATTGCTCCTCCTCCATACACCTTGAGCGCCTTCATGGCCTACCTCTCCCAGAACCATTGTCTCGAGACCTTAGAATTCACCCTGGAGGCCAATCGATATAGGGATTCCTATCACGCTCTAGCCGAACGACTGGGCTCCGACGCTATGGATTCGGAATGCCCCGAAACTCAGCATTTGCGAATGCTCTGGACACGTCTCTTGACCGCATACATCTTCCCGGGGTCACCGCGCGAGATCAACCTGTCGAGCGAAGTCCGAGATGCGCTTCTGCAGTACACGAATGTGCCCGCGCCGCCCGTGCCTGAAATCTTAGATTCCGCCGTGAACCGCATTCACGACTTGATGGAAGAATCAATCTTCCTCCCCTTCGTCAATAGCCATACTACCTCCCCTTCCATGGGACCCTCAGAACCCTTCATGGGACCCGACGACTTCATGAGTCTATCGTCGACGAGCTTGGACGAGCACCCCATGAGAATGGTCCGGTCGCGTGTGTCGAAGCGCATCTCCCCGCAGTCGTCTACCAAGGATCTTACCGCAATGGGTCACCACCGCTCAACCATGTCCCTCGGCGCCGTGCATGCCATTGGCAAACACTCTCCCGGCGCCCATGTCAACACTTGCACCAGCGGCGAGTCGGCTTACCTGTCTCTGACTGATGACTCTGCCTCTCCGCAGTCCAGCCCCACCGCTGAGGAGCCCATGACGCCGCCTACCACCCCACCTGCCAGCGAGCCGCATCTTCCCATCCAAAGCCCCAGACTTCGCACCGAGAACCCTTGGAAGAAGATGGGGATGAAGCTTGGATTCAAGAAGCGTTCCACTGGAGGCAGCAGTGGTAGCTCTCGTGAATTTAAGATTCTTGGTCTTGACGACTAATTGTCTTCTCTTTCTTACATTTTTTTTTGGACTCCAGCTCTTGTCGACACACCCAAAACCTACTCAAAACACATCTTTTGTTTGTCTCCTCACTTACGACAACTACGAATTCCGCAACGAAACTTCTCATCTCAACACACTTTGCATAAAATACCGAAATACACCATCCCACAACTTGATTCTAGCCTTTGTCGAGCGTTTATATTGGCGGTGTATGAGAGCATGATGCATTGATAGCATTTGAAACTGGCGTTTTGATCATTTTATTCTTCTTATGGGATGTCTCCAGCTGAGCTTCCTCTTTTTTTTTCCATCTTCACTGTTCAAATTTCTTTTTGGCTACTTTTTTTTTTTTGGCGGATGGCATCACGGGAAAGGAAACCCACATACATCTTACCATATTTTCATCTATAGATTGGCCAGAAGACCTGTTGGCATTTCAGGTCTTCTGGACACACGGCGTTTTTGCCGAGACATTGTCTTGGTTCCTCATCTCCCACTGGGATTTCATTATTTTTTTCGGAATCCACAGACTTGATACCCCATTTCACATCACTTGCTTCTTTAACAGTAACCCGTAGATTTAGCCACAACTGCATGTAGTGTTTTAATTAGTGTTCAATCCCCTACGCAGACCTACATGGGCCATGCGTTCGATCGGTAGCGCCAATTCCAAACCCAACAGAGTCGAAAACCAAGACCTCGATTCTTTGCCTACATTTCCAGCATGTCTCAATTCAGCTCTGAGATATTACCAGCCGTGATCCGAGCAGGCATCCCAGCATTCCTTCTCAGATCTGAGACCAAGCCATGTCTAGGCCTTTCTCGATCCGCCTGGTCACACACGTCGGACACCCACACTCAGACATGTCGCCCAGAGAGCTCGGGGGGCCATACATAGAAACTTCCAAGAGTTGTAGTACAGATGCACACGTAACCCCTCGCAGGCGCATCGAAGCCTAATGTTCATGCAAAGTTTGGCACTGGGTCGAAAATAGTTATAGGGATAGGTCCGGACGAGTGGATGATCCAAGGCCCAAAAAGGAAATGGGGAAAAGGTCAAGGATAGTTGCAAGTGGAAGTGGAAGTGTACACTAAAACAAAAATCAACCATCACAGATCAATCCTCCGCCCACCTCTCGTCTCCAAGGCAGCAATATCAACATCCCACCCGACATCACTCAACCCCGTCAGATACTTCTCAAATCGGTTCTCGGTATTCAGCAAAGCAAGCGTCCCCTCAACAACAGTGAGAACCGCATCAACAGAGGAACCCATTGTGATCCGGGCCAAGACCCTTGCAGCCAGCAAAGCATGAGCCCATGCCTTTAACTGATGCTCAACCGCACAACCCCGCTTCAGAAGAATCGAACCATGCCACTTCACACCTTCTCCCGCAGCCGACGGCACAAGAAACAGGATATAAAACTCATCCGCGAAAACAGTCGCAAGCCGCTGTAGCGGGAGGGTGCGTCGGAACGATGTACTACCGGACACAGATCCACCCAAGAGAGCAGACAATGTACTACCGGAGCCAGAACCGCCCAGGAAAGTAGACACGGATACGCCTATCTGCGCGGATCCTAGATGGTGGGTTACTGTATGCGTGCCCGAGTGTTGCGTCCACTGCAACGCTCCGTCCCGGTGGAAGATACGCTCGTGTTCGGCTACCTGTGCTGGTGTGAGGATTGTCCAGTTCTTTTTGGGTGGGGCGGGTGTAGTAGAATCGAGATCGAGTTCTAGTGCTAGTGCTAGACTCTTATCGGAGGCTAGGAGGGCTGAGAAGACGATGTTCGCGCGCTGGCGGTTTAGGCTTGTCATTCGGACGGCGCGCACGGCGGCGTAGTTCATGCTTAGATGCAGGGCTAGGAGGAATAGGAGGACAAGCCAGGTTGTGCTGAAGCTGGTTATGTGGGAGATGACTACAGATCCGACCTGGGGGGTTTGTCGTTAGGATGGAATACTGGCTTGGAGGAGAGGGTTAGAGATGGAGATGGGGATGCTCACCAGCATGCCGAAAAGAGAAATGACCGTCTCCTGAGACGAGTCCTTCTACACGACAAAATTTTGGTTTGTTAGCTCTGCCTGTCGATTTCAAAAGAGACAGTGCATCACGGGAATTCGAAATTGACACATACGGCATTAAGCTCCGCCAGATTCCCCCATTTGGCAAAATGAGCACTCAAGCTCGCCTTCGAGCTGCCCCCGGCTACGCCGCAGAGGGCTCTGAGGACACCGGCTGTACTGAGGACAATCACCCGCGCCGGTCCGGCGGGAACACCCGGCGAGAGACAGTCGAGGATCATGGCGATGTCGTTGAAGACGTCTGCTGCTAGTCGGTAGGTTTTACATTCTGGCTCCAGGGCTGTGCCGACGCGGTGGGCAAAACAGATTGTTGCGATGCGGCCCGATATATCTTGCAGGATTTGTAGAAGCAATGCGGATGTTGGACTCGCGCTGGCGTTGCCGACGCCGACTCCTGTGTGTTGGGTTGGGTGTTAGTAGCATGTCTTATGGTTTGGTTCTGGTCCATGAGGGCTGGGTTGGATGGTGGGATATGGACCTTGGAGGACAGCTCGGGAGGAGAGGAGGCCTGCGATTGAGCTGCAGAAGGCTTGGAGGGAATCCTGCGGGAGGTGAGTTGGATTAGATCTGTGTTCTAGATGTATTTTTGATCCTATTTTTGGCATGGCAAGGTATATTGAGCCATAAGGTTTCTGTTTCCGGCAACCGGGGATTGGATGCTCACAAAGATTTGATATCTGGGCTTAACGTTAGCATCTTTTGATGATCATGGATGTTTCATGCATTTCAACAGGCTCCTGTCTGCACTCACGGGAGATAGTCATCGCTGACGCTTTGGGGATATCCAGAAGGAAGAAAAACGTCACTCAGAGAGCTGACTAGGAGCTTGGCTGACCATGATGAGGTAGATGAGGAGGAGCTCTGGCAAACTAGGTCAATTAAGATCGAGATCTTCAACTTATCACGGTAGCGTTGCAGGTTCCCCCGAATCACGCAATGACATCCAGATGTTGAACCCAGATATGACAATTCGAGATACAGTGAGCACAATTCACGTATTAAAGGCAAGAGAGGTTGCATATTTTCCAGGAAACAGATTCATTCTGAAGTGTTTGGCAGGTATCCCAGGACATTAACCGGGATGCCGACCTGCTAGTCGGCAAGATGAATGACCAATCTGGAACTGACTTGGCTTGTGTGCCATTTCAAACATCCAGTGATAGATGAATCCAATAGGAAAGTAAGAAATGACCACTTACTATTACATCTACTCGGCCAGCCGGTGTCTTCGAGGAAGTGATCGAGGAAGCGACATCTCCCGAGTAGACGTAGGTTGCAGTAGGGTTTCCAGCCTCGTCTGTCTCCCGAACTGTCAGGCTATTCGTCTCGCTCAGATGGGAGATCATGTTCAAGACCTCGGGATGGGAAGTAGACAAGGGTTACTCGAATCGAGGTAGAGTCGGGGAGGCACGTGCTTGAGACCACGTACCTTACGATCCTTGATACAAGATGCCAGGTCTATATTTCGATGGCTCTACAGTCTTTAGTCTAAATTACGATTTGTAGATCCGAAAAGCTTAGTCCTGCCTCGAGGGAATCATTTCTTCGAATAGTGCTCACAGAGCCTATGTATCTAACAAGAATCACCAAGTCCTCCAAGCTATGTAAAGAACGAACACGACTCCGATTTTTCGACATCAAGACGATACGGCTGCATGTCGCGTATGGAAATAGAACACCGAGAAAAATCAACCACCAGCGCCGGGTACAACGAGTTGAAAAAAAAAAAAAAACAACCGGGAAATAACGAAGCGGGAAAGCAACGCCGCTGGCTTGTGAATATTCTCTGACCATCACAAAGAACAAGGTATAAAGTGAGAGCTTTTGGTGTCGGAAACTCTCGAAACGAGCAAGCACGCATCAGATCTGTGTTCCCAGCGACCGCGAAGGCATTGACAACGCCACGGTCGGTCCAAGTCAAGCTCGTGACCGCGCTTCATACCCAAAATCGAGACTCACGACTCAGGCTCATTCATCGCGCAACTTCCATGGGAAGTATCATGTCCCATTCATATATTTTGAGAAACTTTTTATTTTTGGATTTGTTTTTTCCCCGAGGGAACGCTTATGCGAACAGGCTTGCGCCGCCAGTCTCAATGGCATCAATCTCAGCCTGGGTCCAGGGCAGACGACCGAACCGCGAGGGGAGCTCAGCACGGTCAAAGAACTCGCCATTCTTAGGCTGGACGGAGCCCAGCGAGGCGCCGGAGTTACCGCCGATGGTGCTGTTGAAGGAGGAGCGACCGAGCGGGCCGTGCTGCTGAGCCTTGGCACGGTAAGTAGCGAAGGAGTCGGGGAGAGTGCCTGTGGGAGAGGCGGGGTGGACACGAGGAGAGTGGTCGATGGACTCTGGAATATTAGGGTTAATTCGGGGCTTAGGGGCTTAGGGGCTTTGGGAGCTCCGAAATGGGGAATATCACGTACGAGGGACGGAGCGCTTGCCAACGAAGCGAATGAGGGGAGTGCGGGCAGTGCCGCTGAGGATGGAAGTGACACGCATTGTGATATAGTTAAGTAGTTTACGAGATGTGGTGAGGTAGGAAGTCGGTAAGATCAGTCTGACGCGGGAATGTGCGAAATTGAAGGGGTCCGGTGGTATCCGAATCCAACCGAGAGGAAGTTATGTTGTACGAGAGAGTGGGCGATGGGTGTCTTTTTTTTTTTTTAAAAAAAAAAGTAAAGAGTTTTCTGGGTATATGAAAGAAGGCGAATATGTAGATGAAGAAATTAGCTTGCAAAGAGGGGACGAGGAGGAAAAGACTCGGAAGATAAGAGAGGGAGGATTGCCGTTTTGGGAAAAGCCGAATCGGAACCGGGGAAGTTATATGCCCGTGTCTTCTGCCCTATGTATGTTGTACACGGTATATTGGAGTCCATCGACATGGTATAGCATCTACCGAGTACAAGAAACAGACGGAGTACGGAACAATATCACGCCATCTTTTCTCTTTTCTCCAACACTCCGTATGTTGCACTACGTTGTATAACTCACTCCGTACGGAGTACTTTGCATCGGAAGATTCCGAGCTTCTACCTTGGCACTCCGTGTTTCTCCATCCCATTTTCCTCATCCTTTCCCATTCTGTGACTCCGGTGAGCTCCTAGGGAGCTCCTCCTTATTCGTGGTGTCTCTTCAGTGCCTGATATTTACGTCTCTTTTCTTTGAGACCTTCACTCTCCGCCAATCATCATCCCCCTCTTAGACCAACTGGCACTTCCCCATAACCCATTCAAGCTTATTTGTCCCACACAGTTTAGACCTCCCCCGCAAATCGGAGGCAAAAGTCCAAGGTTTCCTTGATTGTGACTGGACAACACATCCTTGTCAACACATCCTTGCAATTGAGATTGATAGAGTCCAAGTTTCACAGGGATCGGAAAAAGTCCAAACAGTGTCGGGAAAGTCCAATATTGAACCCCACGGCCAAGAAACAGATCAAATCAAACAGACCAAACATATCAAACAAGGTCATTAGACGCTATTAGCAATAGCACCGACACATAGCAGTTTGGAATCCGATAACGTTCCTTGGAGGACTGCGCCACTGAAGCTTGGACCCTAACCTAACACATCCCGGCTTCACCCGCTCCATTTGCACAAATCAGACAATATGCACGAGCAGTCGCTTTTCGCCTCGGTTCCAGTCCACCAACATCATGAGCTTCTTCAGCAGCTTGCCGGGTTAACTGCCATGCAGCCCCGCCATTGCCTAGAGCGGCGGCTGATCTTCAAGGCCTACCGAAAACCCGGCGTGGCGGGGCGCACTGGAGCCAGTCAGGACCTTCAACAGGGGGACTTGCAGCGGCTGAACAAGATGCTCAATGGGAACTTGTACTACACTCAAGTGGTTGGTCCGGTTTCCGAATCGGATTTCGGATCCACCGCCCCCGTCGACCGAGACACCCAGATGGCCGGCACGGACGACCCCAAGCCTAATGGATCTTCCTCATCTCCACCATCCTATGACTATGAACGTCAGCCATGGAAGTTGGAGTTTCGTGATATCCCTGAAGCTGGCACCCGCTCGGCGGTTACGTCACGCCTGATGTCGAGTGCGACACTGCCGCGGGGAGACGTCGTGCAAGCTATGAATGCGTGGGGCTATCAGTGAGTGGCGTTACCGAGGTCAATCTTATCATCGCGGGCACTAACCCTGTCTGTTCTAGTTTCACAACGGAGTATGTGGTCGAGGGTGATATGTTCATCTACAATGACATTGCTATCTTCTTGCATCGCGTTCTGCACTACCCGGGCGGAAATGAGCTGAGCCTGCCCCGGCGGCAGCTACCTGCTTTGAAGGATATGACTCTGTTTGAGAAGAGCGGAAGCTATGTGCTACAGGCTATCATCATTGTTCAGGACGGTAGCAACCAGGAAACGATGAAGACTGCCGCGCAGCATCTCTTTGGCCTGCGCGAGCAGTTGAAGTCGGCGGTTGTCCTGGAGCAGGCAGATCGACTGTCTCTGGATACACGGGCGAAGTAGATGGCCCCTCCTACTTCGGTTCGTTTGAGCATGCTGGAGACAATACCCGGTCTCCAGCCACGGCGTTGCTAGACATCTCGACCTTTTTTTAAAAAAAAAAATTTGGGGAACGACGAAATATACCCATCATAGCAATATCAATTTCACTGAACCTTTTCATTCTCCTCTCACGGTAAGAGTGAATATCGAAGCACATGAGAAGCATATGTGACACAGATGGGCTCATAGGATTCTTGAAGTAACACACCTATACCGATACTCCTGTCTAGATAGGATTTGGCTGAGCGGGTAAACCCTCGCAAGTCCTCTTGCCCGGTTTCAACGGGAGATGTCTTCCATCCGAGCTTGCGTTCCAGCACCGTAGCATCTATTCTTGCTTTCCGGGATATCGAAACGGGTAATTTCGTGATCACTTCTTCCTCAGAAGAGGACTATCTTCCATCACATCTAAAGTTTTTCTTGGTATTATCTGTTAATTATCTTTGGATATTTCACAGATCTGCCTGCATGATGTCCACTTTAAAAGTTCAAGAACATGTGACTTCGTGATTTCTCCCGCGTCTCGGCGCGTCCAGCACTACAACTCACGGCGAAAACTGATCGAGTCGACCATCACGCTTCTAAATCTACGTACAAATCCTTCACGACGTTTTCACTCACTCGGGCTATCAGAATGGCCGAGGGGGCAGCCAAGAGAAGTGCCTCCCCCACGCAAGCCATCTCTCCGCCACCATTGCGCCGGAAAGTTGAGACAACGGTAACCAGTGAGTCTTTCATGTCTTTAACATCTACCAGGGTTTCCATCAGCTAAAATTAATGAACCTATAGAGAAATCCGTGGCAAATTTCTTCACTCCGGCCTCGCAAAAGAAGCCCGGGCCGATCACATGGCGCGTCATCGGCACAAGTGTTATCATCGGAAAGCAGATAACGGGCAAGGCAGTCCCTCCCACCGAGAAACAGCGCCGAATCGCTGGCTTTGATCTGGTCAGTGGTTGAAGCCGGACGCTAGAACAGGTAGCGTCGAGAGACAGGAGGGGCCTAACTGACGACAACATATAGGATTCAACCTTGATCAAAACCAAATCGGGTAATGTCTTTCCCAAGTCTGCCACTGATTGGCAATGGTGGAACGCCAAAGTCCCGGGGCGACTAAAGGAGCTCAATGCGGAAGGGTATGTCCAGGTTCGCTGTGTGGGTATTCTTGAGATCACTTGAGCTTATGCCTTGGCAGCTTCCAAGTTGTGATTTTCTCCAACCAAAAGAAGATCAGTGTCCAGAAAGATATCAAGGGTGGACGGAGTGACTCAAAAAGTCTGTCGAACTTCAAGGAAAAGATGACCGCTGTCATGACGGAACTGGATTTCCCTGTCAGTGTCTACGCAGCCACCGCAGACCCTGAATATAGAAAACCCCGTACCGGGATGTGGCGCGAGTTCCTGGATGACTATGATCTTGATGTTGCGGGTGTCAACCTGCCCGCATCGGTTTTTGTCGGTGATGCGGCTGGAAGGCCAGGAGATCATTCAGCTGTGGATCGGTAAGAGCATCACCACTGTTGGTATGTTGTGATTAAAGTCTGATCTCGCCTCCAGGGGACTTGCTACCAATATCGGTATGCCATTCAAGACCCCGGAAGAGTTTTTCCTTGGGCAGATCACGGAGCCGGGGACGATGGGCTTTGACCCTATGTCCTTCGTAAAGACGGATCTTGAAGAGCCCGGTATGTGTTGTTTTGTTGCTTCCAATGAACTTGGTATCTCCAAGAAATCCGACTCTGGTAGATGGTTGACGGGTCTTCATCGCAGCCAAACCTTTTGCTCGCAAGCATCCACTTGAACTTGTCATATTCTGTGGCAGCCCAGGTGCCGGAAAGTCCACTTTCTACTGGAATCACCTGGAGCCTCTAGGCTATGAACGAGTCAATCAAGATCTTCTCAAGACGGTGCGCACCATAATTAACCCCGAAATGAACCTAAAATCGAATGCTGATGAACAACAGCGTCCGAAATGTCTCAAGGTCGCCCGCGAGCACCTAGAAGCCAAGAAGTCCGTGGCAGTCGGTACGTCTAGCATTTATCTCGATCGCAGCTTCAGCTTCGGCTTTCAAGCAATTTACTGACTAACCCCTAGATAATACCAATGCCGACCCAGAAACACGAGCTTACTGGACGTCTCTCGCAAAAGAGTTCAACATTCCTATCCGTTGCGTACAATTTATCTCAACCCCCGACCTATGCCGACACAACAACGCCGTCCGAGCATCCAACAAAGAACTGGTATGTATCGGCAACATCTCCATCTCCATCTCCATCTCGTCCTCATTGTTATCCCAACCAGAACCCCGAATCCCGAACCTCCCTTCCCGGAATTGCATTCGGCGACTTCGGCCGCCGCTTCCGCGCACCAACGCTGGAGGAAGGCTTTGATGATATTATCCCTGTCGAGTTTCAGTTCCACGGCAGCGAAGAGGCGAAGGGGCTTTGGGGCCAGTACTGGGTTTAAAAGTACCAGTGACCAGGACTGATGTATACGCCAACCACTTGCCCTACCACTCACGTCTGACGACTGGTGCCTACATATGTCTGCGTCGCGCTCATCCTAATCATGATATCTTTATTTTGCATGCTTTGAAGCTGAAATACGGCTCGTGTCGACGGACCTATTACCTGGTGGCGGGGTTTCACCTGACCTCAAAAAAAGCGGATGATGATCTCGACTGCATCGATGCATGTTTCGGCTCCGTGATGAACATAGATTCAGACATTCTCGGCTCTGCCATCGACCCTGACGGAGGGGTATGGGATGTGACTTGGGATGTATTGCACGTGTCATGGTCAAGCCCATCCTCGGACTTCCCCGGCCGATTTCCATCCAAGACATAACCTACATCCTCTCGAGATTGACAATACAACTACCTTTACACATCTATATGTAGACACGTAGGTAGGGCAGGTATACGTACTGTAGTATTGGTAGTAAGCGACCAAGAACCGTACTCAAGAACACCTAGCCCGAGATACACTCTACACTCCATTGCCTAGTGACATCTCCGCTCAACTAAATCCAGTACGGAGTGCTCTGTAGACGCAATCTTAATCCGAGATTAAAATGACTCTGACTCACCTCTCGAAAATCAAATATCACCCAATGACGCAGACAGGTATAGACACCAGCATCCGCACCAACCTCCACATCTCAATCTGGATATGTTTCAAGTGGATCCTGCCAGGCTTGTCATCATGTATGAAACCCCCATCGTTCATGCGAGTGTATTTTAGAATGGTATAAATAGTTCAAATGGCTGTATCTTCACAACGTGGCCGACCCACAGTACCAGGTCAGTTCCTCTCTTCATTGTGCCGTTGTACCCCATACATCTGACTCATCTACATGGGCTTCGCGCTTTCATTTTCCGGTGGGAGACAGTATGTTCGATGTCTCTCCCACGTGGGGTGGTTCTATTGTGCACCGCGTCGTCTTTCCCATGGCATGTACATGAGTGTTTCATAGGATGATCTCATTTGAGAATTGTAGATGTCGATATGAAGGTAGAGATTAAGTGCAATCACATGTGGGTTGTGCATGAGCTGGATATGTACCACTAGAGACATGGCTGGGTATTTTTTCCAGTCTTTTTTTAGAGGGGCTTTGTAGTCCGGTTCTGCTCGTGCAGCAGAGATGTTGATGTATAGGATTGAAGTCTATGAGGATACAACGGCTGGTAGGCTTGGTGTATGGGGGGGTATAGTATATAAAGGAAGCAGAATGAAAGGAGAGGAAGGGGGTGGTACACCCAGTCAGTTGGAGAGGTTAACTTTTCGTTCCTTTTTCTTGCTTGTCGACTGTTGAAGGGATCACAGGTTTGCAAAAATAAAAAAATTTAGCAAGACATCCAGGACCAAGAAATGGAAAAGCTAACCCGCCGAAAAAGACAAGACTCGGGATATGGACAAAGGAATGGCATGATCCAGGGCGAGAACAGTAGTCGCTGATCCGGATCGTGTGTCATGAGAGTCATTATAAGCAATAGTTTCAGACCAAGAAAAGATTTAAGAGAGACATTAGTCGTAACAGTGCGGGCGAAATTGAACAAGTCATCAAAAAACATGCGGGGAATAATCTATCATCATTATCGTTGTGAGTCGCTTGGAAATGTGAGATACAAAAGCAAGGGGAAAAAGACAAGAGACCAACGAAAGGACTCTGGTCTCAAGGTCGGGAGACCAAGTCCTGGAAAAAGCGGAAGAAATTCCTCTTTTTCTCCGAACGGCAGGAACCTGCAATTTCTGTAGCCGGTGCTACAGTCATAGGGCCGACAATGTCTTCATCCCCCATCTCGGGGAACTTGTTGTTGTGAAGACGCGGGATGCGGACTTGCTGGCAAGGGTGGATATTAGACTGAGTGAGCGTGAGAGCAACACCATCTATCGCACTAAGCTGTTCGAGCATGGCCCCGTGTTGCATTGCCCACTCGCAGTTGATCGACTCCCATTTCTCGACGGTAAGCTTGTAGATGTTGGAGGTGACACCGTAGTGTTCACCCGTGCGAACGAGGTGCTTGGCAAAGTTGCAACGCGCAATGTCCCAGTCTGCCCGCATCTGCTGAAAATGGTCGAGGTCGCAAACCACAGGGTCGTAAGGCTCAGGCGTGATATTGAAGTTGGCATGGCCGAGTTTGTTGGCCCATTCGTCATTGGGATCGGAGAGGACGAGGGGCGTTACATCGCCTGAAATTGTGCGCACGGTACTAGCCCGCGGCCGGTTGAATGAAGCCACAGAAGGCTTGGACGAGAGAGGGGGCGAGGGAAGAATCCCCATAAACCGCGGATCTGAAGTCACATTGTGGATGTAGTGTGGTTCGCTCACGTCTGCGACTGATGGAGACTGCAGGGGTGACTGCACGCGAGATGCTGCGACGCTCATTGGGTCGTCTCCCATAAAAGGTGGCAAAAGAGGGGTTGTCGCTTTCTGCACATCGTTGTCGTCCTGGCTAAGACTGTTCGCTCGGGTGATGTCTATTGGACGCACGCCAGACTCGCTTGCGCGCTCTTCGAAGATCGTTCGCGCAGGAGAAGGGGGGATAGGGTCGGCACGGCTCACAGGCATGGAACCAGGGATGGGGCTTGCCAAGGCGGAGGATGCTGCCGAGTTCGCGCGCGATCGTAGATTATCTGGGAAAACATCACCTTCTGCGCCACTGGAGGATCGCTTGGTTTTCCACCGTGCCGACATGGTCGAGATGTGCGAGTTGATGCGCGAGACACCCTTTAATGAGACACTGTCTGATCGTCTTTTCTCGAGTGATTGGGCAGTCTCTACGCCAGTAACGCTCAGATCGTAGCTATCTGAGTTAAGGACGGGGGAAAAATACGACTCTTCTGCAGACGTGTCGTGATCGAAGTGTTCTGTAGAAAAGCCCCTGTTAGCAACTGCGATCTCTCCGAGGAATGTTTGCGGTGGCAATTGACACATACGGAAATAGTGATCTTCCAACGAGTCGCGTGTGCATTCCTCTTCTTTGACTCCAGTCAAATGACTCCGACTGGGACTGTCCATTGAGTTTCCCAGGCCTGATGAAGAGACAAGGGAAGAGACAGAGCTAGAGACCCGATTGTGGCCTGCTGCGGAGAACAAAGAGATGGCAGGTGAGGCCGGCGCGGAGGTATTAATAGTCAATGGGGAGTGCGGCTGGCGTGTAGGTGAGTCGGCCGCGTCAAGATTTTCTCGTGTCGCGTCGATGATATGAGACAGTTTGTACATTTTCACAAGGTGAGCGCCGCTGGTGGACGGGGTGGCTGGTATATAGGGGATGGTTGCAGTTCAGCATTGGATGTGAGGGGTGACCCTAAGATAAAAGAGACAACGCTCGGTTTCAACAAGTCATTCCCTAATGGCTTTTGGGCGAGAAAGGACGTGGCGGTGTGATGGAGAGCGAGAGTCCGAGAGAGAAAAAAAAAGTCCGGGAAACGCGGGAACTGAGACTTAGGGCCAGTTAGCATGCGATGAAGGATAGGAAATGCGAATGTGATTATCGTCCAAGTAGAAAGACCCACCAAGACGGAGTACACCACTCTGAAAAGACAGGAAAAGGGGAAAAGAAAACGAATTCCACTGAGCGACGTGGACCAAACAAGTGAACGCGACCAACTGGCTGGGCAGAAAGAGATTCGGTGCTTTTGCTTACAATCGGCAAACGGACTGAGCGAACAGGGAGATCCTAAGTAGTACAGATTCTCTACCTTGGCCCTTTTCGATGAGAGAATAGATGAGAGAATAGATGAGAGAATAGATGAGAGAATAGATGAGAGAATAGATGAGAGAATGGATGAGAGAATGGATGAGAGAATAGATGAGAGAGTAAAGGTGATGGCGAGGATGAGAAGAGATATGAGAGAAAGTGAACTGGAGAGGCAATTGGGCTCTAGACTGTCTAAACAACCGTTGGTGGAGAATTCCATCGGATTCCCAAAGGAAAAAAAGGGACTAACCTCAAACTCGAACTCGCCGATCCATGTTTCCAGGGTTTGCTCCGCTTAGTTCCGGTGGTTGACACTGCTTGAACCATGGTTTGAAAGAGTCTGGAAGGCATCTTGCCTTTTTTTTTCTTTTCTTTTTTTTATGCTTTCTTTATCCTCCTTTTTTAGACTTTATTCGTCCTCCGCCAGTTATACAACATACTTTGTATAGTGTTAAATTGATGTATCTCTAATTCGATTGTTTTTTCAATCCCCTTTCTACCAGCTACACAGTTATGTTGTGTAGCCCTATGTTCTATATCGATACCCCCCCCCCCCAGGACCCTTTTCTCAATTGGGGTGTGCGATCGGCAAACAATCTAGACTGAAGTGGATTCATGAGGGGAACCATTATGATACCATTGCGACCCAGCCGATCGGTGTTGATTCGCTCTATACAACATAGATTGGGGGGAACGATGTTCATCATTGATCCAACTCAGGTCTGTTTACTCCGTAGTACTCGATCATCATTCCGCCTAAAATAACTACTGGGTATACCCGTCCCCATTCCACACACGGGCTGTTGCATCCATCCTGTTTGTATTAGAGCTCCAACAACGCTGCGCAACTGCGGACAAGGTCCCGTTCCGTAGAGGTCAGAACTTTGTCCGAGTATGACGAGCACGGTAGCACAATGGGAGGGTAAATCGGTGCCAAATTTGGCAGCGCACGGAGTTGCGAGGTGTCGTATCGTGGTCCCCGTCCTACGATAACTTGTGCGAACTCCGAACTAGACTTGGACCACGATAGACATCAAAGCACTACTGACAACCGTGGCAAGTGTTATACTAGAGGAGAGAACTGCCATCCAATCATAATAACCATCGGAATGAACAGGTACCGCCGGAGAGGGGAAATAACCAAGGGAAACCCTGGAAAGAGAATAATTCATTCATCGTTGGCACCAGACGTTAGATCCACATGGCCCTAACCAACGTTCGGGGAACTCGGGATTCGGGGAACATTCCATTTTTTTCCATTGGAGAGGCGAAGGGAAAAAGGCAACAGAGATCCATGGTGTTGCTTCTGCCCGGGTGTGCCCTTTGGCGTGAGCCTTGGCGCGGCAACCGAGATGGACGGATTTGTCAAGCCGGGACTGGCTGGACAAGTCATATTTTATTCTTCAGACTTCGATTATTATGACGGATCAGATTCTTTGTTTCTTCTTTTTGCCCCTGGAGATCTCTTCGATCCCATCTCTCACCAGGCATCCCTGCAGGGCACTAGGACAGAACAGACTACACTGCAACCCAAAACGGCATAGACTAAGTCTTCTATCTCGGGGATAGCCAATCACCGCCACTCGGCAAAACGCAAAAAGAAAAAAAAAAAACAAAAAACAAAAAAAACAAAAAAAACAAAGACGAAAAAAAAAACCCCCCGCCCCTCCC